TTAAAGGCCTTGTTTGAAAGGAGGAGGGGATCCCAGAAAAAAGTTTCTTTTCATTTGATTCTTTTAGATACAACAACCTACTATCAGCCCAGAATAACTTTAATCTAAAGTATCAATTTGACATTTTTTGGCCACCCAGACTTTGTGAATTCAAGTTGTAAATTCACTGCTTCGAGAGTATACATTCTCAGAGGAAACATTTTTCTTCTTCACTCAGTACTCAAGAGGCCAAGATAAGGTGGTGTATAGAGAGAAAATGTTTGTCACTAACACTTGGAATTTAGCCCTTCAGAATCCAGGGTTAATGCAGGGTGACCTCTAAAATTCCTCAATCTGTAAAAGTCCTAGACTTTGGTTCATAGCTTCAATATCCTGAAAGACTAATGGCATACATATTGAATGTTGTTGTTAAATGCCGTCAAGTTGGTTCCAACCCATAGCAACCCTGTAAAGGGTTTCCAAAGAGCAGCTGATGAGCTTGAACCACCAACCTTGCAGTTCAGACAACTTTGCAATCTGACGCATTAGCCATCAGCACCACAACAGGACTCCTACATATTGAATAAGTATTTTGAAATCTAGAACCATCTTACTGATTTTTACCAAAAAAAAAAAAAAAAAAAAATCCTGTCAGGATTTTGATTAATAATGTGTTGAATCTACAAGTGAACTTGGTGATACTGAGTCTCGCAATGCATGTGTTTTTAATGAATATGTTTGCATCTTGATCTAAAGGTCAGTAAACTCTGAAAAAAAAAATTTAGTCATTTGTAGTAATTTTTATTGTAATAATTCAGGGAGGAAGCACAAAGAAGTACAGTGCCAACTTCAAAACCTTGTATAAGATTTGTTAATGGATTGGTTAGAAGTCACAATAGTCACTAATTAGGAAAAGGGCATATGTTTAGGATTTAGATCTGGCTTTGAAGTGAGACAGAGTATTTGTTAGCAATATGTTACAGACTAAGGTACTTGCAGTTTATGGATTTTGGTTTTCTCATCAGTAAAAAGGAAATAATAAAATCAGTTTCTTAGAGTCTTAAATGAGTATTAACTAATGTAACTTGTATAAAGCCTAGCATCCATAACTGGTACAACCTAGGCACTCAGTAGTGGTGGTTGAATCATGTAATTTACACTATTATAGCACTTTTCCATATAATAATGAAAATAGTCCTATTGAGAATGTGTCAGAAAATAACCAGGTTGCTAGACCATAACCTAATCACTAGGATGAAGGGATTTCTCAATACCACCCCATAACAACTATCAGTTCAGGAAAGACCCATGTCTTGAGTTCTCATAGGGTAAGAACAGAGAAAATAGCATTAAGTGAGCAATCTTCAAAAATAGAACCCTAGTGAAGAAGATCAAAGACTCAAGGAAGCAATTAGTCCAAAGGACTAAAGGACCATGCAAGCCACAGCAAATACTACTCTGAGATCTGAAGAACTTGGTGGTACTTGGCTATCATCACCAAATTCTCTGAATGGGATCACAATAGAAGGTCCTGAACACAGTAGGAGGAAAATGGAAAACAAAATTAAAAACCATAAAAAAGACACTGGTCTGATAGAGACTTTTGTTGTCGTTGTTATTAGATGCCACTGAGTTGTTTCAATCCATAGTGATCCTGTACACAACAAAATGAAACATTGCCCAGTCCTGCACCATCCTCACAATTTTTGTTAACACTTGAGTCCATTGGTACTGCCACTATGCCAATCCAGCTTTTTCACTGACCCTCCACTTTGCCAAGCATGATGTCTCCAGGGGCTATTCTCTCCTGGTAACATGTCCAAAATATAAGAGATGATGTCTCATCATCTTGGCTTCTAAGGCACATTCTTCTAAGACAAATTTGTTTGTTCTTCTGGCAGTCCTTGATACTTTTAATATTCTTCTCTAACACCATAACTTCAATGCATCAATTCTTCTTCTACATTCTTCCTTATTCATTGTCCACCTTTCACATGCATTTGAAGCAATTGAAAATACCATGACTTGGGTCAGGCACACCTTAATCCTAAAACTGGTATTTTTGCACTTAAATACTTTAAAGAAGTCTTGTGCTGCAGATATGCCTAATACAATATGCCATTTGATCTCTTGGCTGCTGCTTCCATGAGTGTTGATTGTGGATCCAAGCAAGATGAAGCCTGGAACAATTTTAGCCTCTTCTCCATCTATGATGATGTTATTTATTGGTCCAGATGTGAAGATTTTTGTTTTCTTACATTGAGGTGCAATCCATACTGAAGGCTGTAGTCTTTGATTTTCATCAGTAAATATTTTAAATCCTCTTCACTTCCAGAAAGCAAGGTTGTATAATCTCCTTATCACAGGTTGCTAATGAGTCTTCCTCCAATCTTCATGCCACCTTCTTCATGTAATCCATTTTCTTGGATTATTTACTCAGCATACAGATTGAAGAAGTGTTGTGAAAGATTATAACCCTGGTGCATACCTTTGCTGATTTTAAGCCATTCAGTGTCCCCTTGGTCTGTTCGAATGGCTGCCTCTTGTTCTGTGTACAGTATCCTCATGAGCACAATGACTGGTGGAACCCTCAAAACTACAGCCCGTAGCTACTCTTCAGACATTGAATGGAACCTGCCTCTTGGGGTAATCTTTTATAGTGATTAATTTATACCATGAACAATAAATAATCCATGAGGAACATAATCCTCAGAACAATCAACCAAGTAAGACCGAAAGAGCCAACATCTGCCCCTAAACAAAGTTCAAAAGGCAAGAAAGGCCTCTTCTTCCTTAGACCTGAAATAATTTTTATTTCCTATATAGTATCTTTTTAGAGTAGAGGAGACTCCATAGGGAACATTCTCGATATGTTACCAGAAATAGTCAAGAATATATAGCAAAAAAAAAAGCAAAACAGTATTTTTAACATTTTCAAGTCTGCCTTTATTTTTTATTCATTTTTGCTGTACTTCCTTCAAATGATCAAATGCCATTTGTTTTGTCCTCTCTGTATTCACTGTGTTTTAGTGCCTGCTCAAGTGACTGGCTTGCATGTGGCCAACCAAGGGATGACCAGCAGTCTGTTTACTAACTGGACCCGGGCTCTGGGAGACATAGAATTCTACCAAGTCTTACTGATCCATGAAAACGTGGTCATCAAAAATGAAAGTGTCTCCAGTGATACCAGCAGATACAGCTTTCACTCCCTTAAATCAGGCAGCCTGTACTCTGTGGTGGTAACAACAGTGAGTGGAGGGATCGCTTCCCGACAAGTTGTGGCTGAGGGAAGGACAGGTAAGAAGCAGACATATGTGTGCCTATAACCTACAGAAATCTGAGCACATGCAGTTCCAAAACAGTATGTTCTAGAAGGTATTTTTTAATCTGCCAAATCACAATCACGGTTTTTATTAGATACACAACAGAGAACCAGATGAAATCATCACAAGACCAAGATTTGTGGTAGGTTAATTCATCATTGTCACAGGCGGGACTATAGAAGTGGGAAAGAACCATGATTATGAAACATACACACTTCCAAGTTTAAGAAGGTTAATGGTTGGTTCTGTAGCTACATGATGGCCTGGATGTGACTCGTAATCGTGTTACCCTGAGTCATAATCACCAGGACTCTAACTTTTAACTTAGATAACATGTGTCTGATTTGCTACTTTCAGTAAATCCCCAGGCAAGCTATCTTGTTCTTTGTGTGAGCACTTTCTGCATATTAATTAAATGTTGTTGTTTTTTTTTTACTTTTTATTGTGAATTGGGTGAAGATTTACAGACAAGATCATCAGATTTACATTCAGCAAACTATACACTTTGTTTCATCTCAATGATCATAATCCCCTCCCTGCAGCATCAATTATCCTGCTTCCTCCATGTGGCTGCCCATTCGCAGTTTATATTTCACAAATTAACAAAGCAAGAACATTTGATGTATACTTAACAAAACAAAAGATACATATTCATTTAAATGTCCAAAGGGCACATTCTGCCAGCCATCTTCTGCCCACAGACACACAACCTTTCTCAGTCCTTGGGTCTACGGCCCACAACTGCTCCTCGCTCCTCCCTCCTGCCACTATCTCTGCTGTCACTGATTTTCTAGGTAGGGATCTCACACTCCATTCATGCTCTTCCTTCTTGATGGTCCTAGGACCGTCTGTTCCTGAATGAAAGATTAACTACTCTCCCCTTTAGTTACATATCTTCTACAATTACAGCTGTGACAATCACAGTTAAGCGTGCTAACAGTTACTCACCATTGAGTCCTAAAATCCTATCCCCATCATCCCCATCTCCTGTCACCAGACTCTACTTTACCTACCTCATTCTGAAACTAAACACACTCATAAAAGCTTGAAAGTGAGCCACTTCATGCCTTTATAGGCCCCCTCTAACCACAGAATTTTTTTAAACATTCTCAAAATCAGACTCACCTTTAGTCTTCTTAAAATCAAACGTCAGTACCATCTAGAAAGCACCTGTAGCTCTCCCAGTGATGACAAACCAACCTCATTGCCATGGAGTCAGTTCTGATACATGGCGACCCCATGTGTTACAGAGTAGAGTTGTAAGAGTTTCTTGGCTGCAATCTTTATGTAAACAAATCACTAGGCGTTTTTTATGCAATGCCACTGGGTGGGTTCAAGCTGGTGGGCTAGTGGATTAATGCAAACTGCTTTTGCCAGCTGGGGACCTTTTTCCAGGAATGATAGATTGGGGGTGGGGAGGGATGCAGTCTGAATTTTTTACAGTTTCCAATAGCAAAAACTCTTAGAAAACTATTTGTAATGGCACTGATAGCCATTGATACCTAAGTGTATCCCTCATTCAGTTAATTCCCAAGAAATATTTATGTCCCAATTAAGGTAAGCAAGCACAAAAAGAAGTTTGAAACTCCCAAAGAAAACTATCTTTCACTTAGTTTCAAGACAAAAAGGAAATTAACTCCAATTTGTATGGTCACAAGTTGAGTTAATAAAATTCCCAAATTACATTTATTTTCATAACCAACATTCAGCAAGTGCTTAGTACTGTGTGCCACCTAAACAATGTTCCTTGACCTTAAAGAACTCACAGTCAAACCAAGCAGAAGGTCACCTACACAATTAAATATCATCATAGTCACGTGGTCAGACACAGGTGTAGCTCTAAAATAGAAATACATTTTCTGCACAACACTGAAAAAAGAATCAGCATAAGCAAATTATGAAATTGATGTTGTGGCTTCTTGGAAAATAAATAAACCCAGTGGAAGATTTGATGATGATTATTGAGTTCAGACACTTCCTGCTTACTTTGGTATGATCATGAGAAGGTGAATTTCAGGATCCTCCATCTGCATCTCTCATGCTCAGCATTTGAGTATCAGCCACAGGCATCACTGAAATGCCCCTTTCCTAAAGTCATGAATCTCTTCTGTTTAACCCAGGGAGCATTAACCTCAGTAAGTCTCCCTGAGGGACTAAGGCTATTGAAAATATGTTTCATAGAAAGTCTTGGTAGAAATCTACTGATGTATACCCACTTCCCTATTATGTGCTTCCTTTGTGAGGCAACTGACCTGTTTCCTGGGTCTTCCTTCTTGATACTGTCCATCTTCTTCTTTAATAGCTCTTGATACCATCCACTAGTGTAGCATCATTAAGAGGTGACAGGTGAAAAGCTTAGCTTGGGAATCTGGAAGCCTAGGTTCTGGTCCTAAGTCTGTGATTAGCTTATTTCTCTAAGCTTGTGTTTTCTAGTAAAAACACAGTAATTCATCCCTCCTCATCCCAACCTGAATGTCAGAGTAGGGATGGAGGAATAACAGAAAACAGTTAAGGAGAAGAGTTGAGAAGGACTTTGCATCTATTTCCCAGTGTGTTGTATCAGTCAGCTTAGACTGATTTATTTCTTGCCTACCCAACTGTGTGGCGCCGTGGGTTAATGCGCCAGACTGTAAAGCCATTTGAACTGCAAGGTCGATGGTTCAAGCTCACCAGCTGCTCCTTGGAAACCCTATGCAGGGTTGCTATGGGTCAGCACCGACTCGACAGCATTTCACAACAACAGCAACAACATCCAACTATACAGTGAGTGAGGTGGTTTCTGATGAAATAACTATAGTGGGGAGCGGGGGAGATTATGAGACCTGCCAGTAGACATATCACTTCCACCCCCATTCACTGGCCAAAACTTCGTCACAAGGCTATGCCTAACAGCAGAAGAGATTAAGAAATGTAGTTGTCTTAGTCACCTAGTGTGCCGCTATAACATAAATACCACAAATGGGTGACTTTAAAGAACAAACATTTATTTTCTCAAAGTTCTGGTGGCTAAAAGTCCAAATCAGGGTATGTGTTGTGTCATTTCCTTCTTCCGAGCTCTCTCCTAGTTTTGTTGTCTGCCAGTGATCCCTATACACAGTCCTTCCATGTCATCTGTCTGCCTTCTGTGTATGTGTCCCCATGTCTATTCTGATCTTCTTATAACTCAGAAGTGATTAGGTTTAGGTTCCACCCTACAGTGGCATGAACACAACTGATTATGTTATCTTATATTGCATTATGGAAAATGATGACATTATATTACATTAGATACGTGGTCATTGGAGCCCTGGTGGTGTAATGGGTTAAGCATTGAACTGTTAACGGAAACATTGACAGTTTAAAGCCACCAGTTACTCCACAGGAGAAAGATGAGACTGCCTGCTCCCATAAAGATCGACAGTCCTGAAAACCCAAAGGGCAGTTCTACTCTACCCTATAGGATCTGCTCTACCCAAGATGGTTTGATCACATGTAACTACTTCATGACAGCAACTATATGAGTGTTTGGTGAAACCACTGGGAACCATAACCCAGCCAAGCTGAAACATAAAATTAGACATCGCAGTAGCCTTCCTATGTGTCTAAGGGAAAAAAGCAAATGGTGAACAACTAGTCTAACTCTGCCACATAGGTTAAATCCCATTTTGAAATGCTACAAGTGCTGTTCAGTTTGTGATAAACTGAAGTAAGTAGACAATAGACTAAATGGTATTGTTGTTTTATGCCATGGAGTCGGTTCTGACTCATAACGACCCTGTGCAGGGTTTCCGAGGCTGTAAATCTTTATGGGAGCAGAAAGCCTCATCTTTCTCCGCGGAACAACTAGTAGTTTTGAACTTCTAACCCTAAGGTTAGCAGCCTGATTCGTAACCACTATGCTACCGGAGCTCCTTAGCAGACTAAGTAGGAATTATATGTTTTAATTGGTTGGTTGTTTGTGTGCCATGGAGTCAGTTCTGACTCACAGCGAACCAGTATAGGATTTCTGAGACTGTAAATCTTTATGGGAGCAGAAAGTCTCATCTTTCTCCTGCAGAATGGCTGGAAGGTTTAAACTGCTGACCTTGAGGTTAGCAGCCCGACTCGTAACCACTACGCTACCAGAATTCCTTAAATTTTTAACAGAGGCAGCAGTATTTGACCCATAGTATAAATTGTTGTTGGTGTTAAGTGTGTTTGAGTCAGTTCCTACTCACAGGAAACCTGTATAGGGTTTCTGAGGAGAAGCTGGTGGATTTGAACTGCCAACTTTGTCGTTAGTAGCCCAGTAGTTGTTCTATAGTGCCATATCAGAACCCATATAATTGTTATTGTTGTTGTTAAATCCCTTAGAGTTGGTCCCATCTCATAGCGACCCTGTATAGGGTTTCCGAAGGAGCATCTGGTGGGTTTGAACTGACAGTCTTGTGGTTCACAGTCCAGTGCTGATCCTATAGTGCTAGCATTCAAAAAGAGACAAATTCTTTAAAGAATGATCATAAAATTTGGGGGGAGAGAGTGAAATATGAATAAATAGGAGCATTAATTATTTTACTCAAATACATTAGCAATACAAGCATTATTGTGAGAAAGAAGAAAAGTGGACCACCACTACTGAAATAAGGCACCCTGGTGATACAGTGGTTAAAGCACTCAGTTGCTAATCAAAAGGTCAACAGTTCACTCATTTCTCTGCATGAGAAAAATGTGGCAGTCTGCTTCCATAAAGATTAACTTGAAGACCCTTTGGGACAATTTGAGTGAGAATCAACTCAAAGGTCACTATTGTTGTTAAGTTTTACAGACTCAGTTCTGACTCATAATGACTCTGAATAGGGTTTCCAAGGAATGGCTGGTAGGTTTGAACTGCCAACCTTGCTGTTAGTAGCCCAGTGCTTATCCTACAGTACCACACAAGGAGTCCTGTGGATTGCTATAGAAACACAATAACTAAAGATCTTCAGAGGTTCCTAGAAAAGTAAATGGTATACAAACTAGATTAGGATAAATTCAATGACTAAGGCTTTAATACTTACTCCCATCCACTTAAATTGTTGAAATATTGATATATGCTGAAATACTATTGAAAAGATTTTTTCATTCATTTATTGAATTGAAACATGCAAACAAATAAATCTTCCAGTCATGATAAGCTGTCAGAGTATATTAAATTAAAGACATTAAATATGACTAACAAATCTAATTGCAATATGAAAAAAAACTCAATCTAAATGAAAAACAACAGGTAAATCGCATATATATTATTTATTAAGCAAGTTAATTTCCCTTTTGGCATATCTTTGATAAGTGGATGCTTTCTAATAGTATATATTAACTGCACTACTAAATTGATCATTAGTTGATTGTTGTTGTTAAGTGCCATTGAGTTGGTTTCCACTGAGAAGCACTCTGTGTTGGGTTTCCAAGGAGTGACTGGTGGGTTTGCACTGCTGACCTTGCGGTTAGCAGTCTTGTGTTTATCCTACAGCACCAGTTGGTAAATATTCTTCACAGTTTTGAAGTACAAGCATAATTGAGAAAAACCAAGAGAGAGATGAAGGGATCGAAAGAAAGAAGGGAGTTAATACCAATACATAAATGTTATGACTGAAAATTATATATTACATGGAACAGCATCAGCAGAGGTATTTGCTGTTTAACTGTTGTTGTTCAGTGCTGTTAAGTCAGTTCCAATTCCTAGTGAGACTATGGATTTCCAAGGAGCAGCTGGTGAACTTGAACTGCCAACCTTCAGGTTCAAACTGACGGTGCATTAATCCATAGCGCCACACCAGAACTCCAGCAGTTTAATATAATACTATTAATACTTCTTAGTGATGGGTAAGTGCTTGAAAGGAAGTTTTGGGGCTTTTTACAAAGCCAGATCATATTAGAAGGTTCTCACAAGTCATCCCTTTCATTATATATGATGCACTGACATTGACACTTGAATGAAAATATTGAACTAATGTGATGCTGTAGGATAGGCACAGTCCTGGTGTTGTACTGTGTAGAATAAGCACAGGAATGCAAGGTTGGTTTGAACCACAAACTCAGTGGTTCAAACTCACCAGCTGCTCTTCAGCCACCTATACTGGATCTCTACGAGTTGGAACCAACTCAACAGCACTTAACAACAGCAATCAATTGATGATGGATTTAGTATTGTAGTTACTATATACTATAAAATTTTATTCTGATATTCACTAATGGCAATTTTACTTATGCATATATTTCTGATACCAGGTACAACTCTTAAAACTATAATTAATAATTTGTGAATTATACCATACTTAGAGAAGTTCTTGAAGGCAGCCATGTCTTACCCATTTTTGTTATCTGGAAAATAGTAGTAGGCTCTTATTAAATGCTTGTGGCACTAAATCCCAAGTGAAATAAGCAAATGATTACAGCTGGCTTCAGAAGGACCCTCATTACCACAGTAACTGGCTGTGGCAATAGTTGACCAAGGGTTCAGATCATTTCTTTTTGCCACTAGAGGGCAGAAAATACTTTTCAAAGGAAAACACAACTCCAAGTTGTGTTAGACTCCCCAGGGATAATAAATAACTTCATCACATAAAGATCAAAATTACCACAAAGTCTTAAGATTTTTAGGAAAAAAATATTGTGTTATTTGTCTTTTTCCCCTCAAATATATCTGCTTTCCTGATGGATTTGTTTCAAGTTGATTCATTTGTAATTATGTTTGTTCCTTTTCCTCCAGAGACTCTCTTGACACATTCACATAAAAATGCCTCCACTTTTTAAATGCTTTACAAACAACCCCATAAAAATGCAATAGCGGCACCCTTGTATTTATGAGACTGGCTCATGCTTGTTCAAAAGGGCAATTTTATTTTGGTTAGCCTTATGATGGAAAAATCATTCATTTTCCAGAAACTAAAGTGAAATCCTAACACATTCTTGACCTGTTATGTAATCACATTAGATCTCATGGGTCCCTACTGTTTTTTTGACGCAACCTTTTGATTGCACTTTTGGTTTTTTAATTTCCTTGTTTTCCTTGTCTAATTGCAGTTCCTTCCAGTGTGAGTGGAGTGACGGTGAACAATTCTGGCCGTAGTGACTACCTCAGTATTTCCTGGCTGCCGGCACCTGGAGACGTGGATAACTATGTGGTGATACTGGCTCATGACAAAGTGGTCCAGTCCCTCCTTGTTGCAAAATCTGTCAGTGAATGTGCCTTCAGCTCCCTCACTCCAGGCCGCCTCTACAACGTGACTATAACTACCAGAAGTGGCAAGTATGAAAGCCATTCCTTCAGCCAAGAGCGAACAGGTAAGGAAATACAGGACTCCCTAAGAGTCCAGCTAGTCCAGAGCAGCACTCTCTCACTGCCAACCAGTCAATTTCACCTCATGGCAACCCTGTTTAGGGTTTCTTCTTCTTCTTGTTATTAAGTGCTATCCAGTTGCTATCTAGTTGGTTCCGACCCATAGCGAGCCTGTATAGGATTTCCAAGGAGCAACTGATGAACTTAAACCACTGACCTTGCCATTTAAACCAACTTTGTAGTCAAGTGCGTTAACCCTCAGTGCTACACTAGCACAAGGCTGTAAGTCTTTACGGGAGCGGAAAACGTCGTCTTTCTCCCATAGAGTAACTGGTGGGTTTGAACTGCTGAACTTAAGATTAGCAGTCCAGGGCTTATCCTGCAGTGCCACCAGCGCTCCTTTCAGGGCATCATGTTGTTTTTGTTGTTAAGTGTCTTCGAGTCGGTTCCGACCCATATTCACCCTGTAGAGGGTTTCCAAGGAGCGGCTGGTGAGTTTCAACTGCCGACTTTGTGGTTCAAACCAACCTTGCAGTTGAGTGCTTACCTACAGCTCCACACAAAGCTATCCTGTAATAATAGGATTCAAAGCAGTTAAGATCACAAAATTGTTATAAATTTTTATCTTTTGATCTAGAAGACACCATATGTAGACAGATGTACCTTTAGAGAAAGACAAACACTGCTTCCCTAGCTAGAATTCCCATCCTATTCATATATGCCGTTAGTTGCCATCCAGTTAGCTCCAATTCATGGAGAGTTTAGTAGAATGAAACGTTGTCTAGTCCTGCAGTTATCACGGTCAGTGGTATGTCTGAGCCCATTGTGGGGCTATTGTGTCAGTTCATCTCATTGAGGGTTTCCCTCATTTTTTACAGACCCTCTACTTTATCAGACATGATGTCCTATCTTAGCAATTGACAGGTCCAACCCAAGTCAGCAAGTCAGAGCATCCCCATCCTTGCATCTCAGAAGTATTCTGGTTGTATTTTGTCTGACACTCATTTGTTCATTCTTCTGACAGTTCTTGGTAGATTCAGTGTTCTTCACCAATTTCGCAATTCAAATTCATCAATTTTTCTTCTCCTTTTTTTATTGTCCAGCTTTCACATGTATATGAGGCAGCTGAAAGACCATGGCTTAGGTCACGTGCACCTTAGTCATCAAACTGACATATTTGCTTGTTAGAATGTTGTAGAGTTCTTTTGCAGCAGATTGTCTAATGTAATACATTGTGTAATTTCTTAACTGCTGCTTCCATAGATATTGATTGACTTTAGTAGAATAAAATGACTGGTAACTTTGTTTTTTTCCTCCAGTATTCAAATATAGTTGTTGTTAAGTGTTGTCGAGTTGGTTCCAGCTCATAGCAACTCTGTATAGGGTTTCCGAGGAGCAGCTGGTGGGTATGAACTCCCGACTTTGTGGTTAGCAGTCCAGATACTAAAACATAGTAACAAATATTTCTGTTTGAAAGTACTTTCTTACTACTTCTTATTGTTTTTAGGTGCTGTCAAGTGAATGCCATCTCATAGCGACCCTGTATGTGGTGTGCAAAACTGTAAATTCTTATGGGAGCAGAAAGTGGAGTGGCTGGTGGGCTTGAACTGTGAACCTTGTGGCTAGCAGTCCTTTGTTTATCCTATAGCACCATCAAGGTTCCTTTTCTTGCTTCTAGGAGCTGACTTATCATATGCTAATCAACTTAACTTTTATCAATCTTTTATTGAGGTCATAAAAAAACCAAACCAACTGCCACAAAGCTACTTCCAACTCATAGCGGCCCTATAGGACAGAATAGAAGTCCTCCATGGAGTTTCTAGTATTGGTTTCCAAGGCTTGAATCTTTATGGAAGCAGATTGCTTCATCTTTCTCCCACAGATGGGTTCGAACTGCCGACCTTTCGGTTAGCAGCTCATGCTTAACAACTGTATTACCAGGTTGTTGCTCTTGCTAAGTTCCACCGAGTGGGTTCTGACTCATAATGACCCTGTATATATATTTCCAAGGAGCATCTGGTAGGTTTGAACTGCCAGCGTTTCAGTTAGTCCAGTGCTGATCCTCAGTGACACACCAGGACTCTGTGCCACCCATTTTACAGATCAAGAAACCAAGGGTCAGAAAGCTTACGTTACTTGTCCAATTTGGTTAACTTGTTAAATAGCCATTAAATTTCAGTCCTGGATTTAAGCTCAATTCTGAGTAACTCCTGAATCTGTAAAGCTCTCTGTCCCAAAATCCTTCCTGAAATGTCTGTCAATCTAGGCTATTTGTCCCTTTTTACACACAATAAATCTTTATGATTCTGGGACTAGGGATCAAAATCTTAGCAAAGGTAGTTAGTGCCAATGCTTCAACGTGCTGGAAAGAACTAAATATAAAATCTACTATTTCCCTGATACCCTAATGCTTTCTGGTGTTTGCAGTTGAGATTTTTGTTTAAAGTTGCCATCATTATTTTGTCAGAGCTTTCCTACTGAGCTATGGGTTAAATCTTTCCAGCTGAGCTATGGGTATTTTAAAATGTCAGTTTTTTCATGAGGATTTGGAACAACTGTGCCTGGAGCTGAGTTGTTATTAAGTATCGTCAAGTTGGTTCCGAGTTATAGTGGCCCTGGATTGGGTTTCCAAGGAGTGGCTAGGTTTGAACCACCTACCTTGTGGTTAGCAATCCAGTGCATATCCTACAGTGCCACATCAGGACTATGAGTTGTTGTTAAGTGACGTTGAGTTAGTTCCGACTCATAGCACCCCTGTATAAGGTTTCCGAGGAGCAGCTGGTGAATTTGAACCACTGACCTTGCAGTTCAAACTGACCTTGTAGTCTAGTGCATTAACCCACAGCGCTCCTGAGTAGGCACTCAGTAATTGTGAATGGATAATCAGAAATCATATAGATGAAGAATTTCCCCTTGACTATCACTGGATGGACTTAGTTCTTGTTGTTAAGTGCTGTCGAGTCGGTTTCGACCCATAGTGACCCCGTATAGGGTTTCTGAGGAGTGGCTGGTGAGCTTGAACAACCAACCTTGTGATTCAAACTGACTTTGCAGTCCTGCGCCTTAACCCACAGCACCACGCGAGGATCGGGATGGCTTTGTTGTTGTTGTCGTGTGCCTTGGAGTCAGTTCCGACTCATAGCAACCCTATACAGGGTTTCCGAGGCTGTAAATCTTTACGGGAGCAGAAAGCCTCATCTTTCTCCCACGGAACAGCTGCTAGTTTTGAACTGCTGATCTTGAGATTCGCAGCCCAATTTGTAACCACTACACTACCAGAGCTCCTTTGGGATGGCTTTAGGAACATAGTAATCCCTGAAATTATCCATGAAGAAGCTGGGGCTAGGAAAGGTATGTGTCTTTCTCTGGGAAGAGGGTACAGGGATTTTATCAGATTCTCAGAGTTCTGTGGCTCGAGAAAAGTTAAGAAACACAGATTTCCTTTGTTATAGTGTGACAGCATTGAAGGGGGGGGGCGTCCTTAAAATACTATACTCTTCTCTCATTTTCTGATAAAGTCCCAGAAAGAAAGTGTTGTTTGTCCAAGGTCTCATGTTGGACAGGTCATAAAGTTCGGCCCAGATTGGTACCATGTCCATTCACCACCAATTGCTGTCAAGTTGTTTCCAACACTGTGTGACCCCAAATATGTTAGAACTGCCCTCCTTAGATTTTTCAGTTGCTGATTTTTCTGCTGGAGATTGCCAGGCCTTTCTTCCTAGGCACCTCTGGGTAGAGTGGAACTGCCAACTTTTCAGTTTGGAGCCAAGCAGATTAGCTGTTTTACTACCCAGGCACCTCCAGTACATCTGCACTAGTCTGGACTATGAAGAAATGATCCTCACCCCCTAGTAATATAAATTGTAATTATACTGGTAATCACAATCATGACTTAGATCTACAAAGCTGATTTCCATTTACAAAACAGCCTCATGTCAGTGTTTCATGCTCACCAACCAGGAGTTTAAAACTCACCAAAATTAAAGGATCTGACACCAAAGAACAGTTCCCTTGCTTCCCGTCATTATCAGTTCATGAATACTTCTTACCCATATGGCTTTCCTATTGCCAGATCTTTGGCTAAAATTGTTTTATTGTTGCTTTTCCTTCAGAGCATCCTCTGGACTCTTTCACCAGCAGGAATTTGGATTTGGCTCATGAGTAATCAAGGCAAACCACTGCACCCAACAAATATGTTTAACTGGGGAGCCATGTATAGGTTGTTGTCTTATTGATTGGGCTGGTTTTCTTAATGTCCTCTACCTTTCCTAGTGCTCTAATGCTTTTGTCCTACATTTTGAGTAAAAATACCAATATTTCTAATTTTGTATAGTCATCTCACCGTGCAGCAAGGCAGATCTCACAAATTACCTCTCATTTCACTGAAGAGCCTTTATTGACTTAGGATGGTATCCAACAGGGTTTTGTCTTCCTGTAATAGTTGCTTTGCCTTCAGCAAATTGAGCTTTCCTGGACCATGAATACAATATCACTTCAGAATTTCTTCTTAACTCTGTGATGTTTATTTACTGTCTAGCAACCCAATATCTATGGTGAGATACAGTCCATACAAAAAAACTAAACAACAAACATGGCCCAAGGAAGATAGTTGTACAACTTATAGGTGTGAGAAGCATTATGAAAAAATTAAGGTATATGCCAAAATA